AAGATCCTAGCCTAACAACCTTGCATCTTCGGCCAAGGCAGCTATTCTAGAATAATAAGTTTGCATAATGGTGAAAATTTTGCCTGGTTCTCCTAGATACATGTTGCTATTGGCAAGTTGGGTTTTTGAGTCATCAACTTCCTGAGAAATCTTCTCCATCTCTTCTACTTTCTTGAAAAGATGGTTGGTTAGGGTCATCTTCTCGGCTTTCAGTGAAAATAGCTGCTCCTCCAGTATCTGAATCTCAGAATCAACCATTGTGATCCTATCTTCCATAACCGATCATTCTTCCACCAACTATTGGAGAGTGGCTGAGGTCTTAATGTGTTTTTCTTAGATCATTTAACTCTATTAAATGCCCGCTTCGTCTTCTGATGCTGATCCTTTAGCGTCTGCAGATTTTCAAAGAAACTGAGAAATAACTCATATTGAGCATTTGACAGTAATTGAGCCTTGTAAAGCTTGGTGAGGGCCTTCTCAACATCATGAAGGCTCTTGAGATTGAAGGAAGTTGTGAAGTCCCTCATCATCCAATCCTCAAAGATTTGACGAGCATTTTGGAAAAGAGGAGACTTGGAAGAAGGTGAAGGAAATTGCAGCATGGTCTTGATATGCCCGAACTTCTTGACCAGCTCGGGCAAAGATGTTGCTAATGGAGTTGGGGGCATTTCTCCAGCACTTTCAACAGTAGCAGAAGGGATAACCTCGGTTGGCAGAGAAGAAGGGACTCAGAGGCATAAATGGAAGTCGCAGTTGTTCTCTTAGCTTTCTTCTTTGGTCAAGGAATGGGAATCCTCATGACCGCAGAAGCCAAGGGAGGCCTTGGAAGATTTGCCTTGCGCACCAAGGGTGGAGGAGATTTGACCGAGCTCTCTCCAGAACCATGTTACAAACCAAGAAAAAAAAAAGAGTTAGGAATGGATCATTTGAATAAAATTAGAGAAAGCTAGGGAAGGGAGTTGGTATACCTGAATGGAACCTGAAGCCTTGGATGGAGGTGGATGAGGAGTTGTGTCACTTGGTTACTGAGGTGGATCATCCTTGCTTGCTGGAGAAGGAGAAATGTTGCCCGAGCCCTCACCAGAAGCCTATAAGTATTAAGAGAAATACAAGTGTTAGTGAGTTGGTTTACAGAAAACAAAAAATAGAAAACTAAGTACTGATATACTTGAGGCAGGACTTGACAGGATTAGTGAGGCATTTTTGTTACAACAGCAGCCCGATAAGCCCGCGGGCTAGTCATCTCTGAGACCACAGAGATTTCAAGGACTATGGGCTCCCCAAATGCAGTTGTTATTGGTTGCTGTGACTCATGTGATGTGGAAGACTGGAAAAAGGCAAAAGCAAATGAGTATAAAAGAATAGGGAACGTTAAACATAAAATGTTAAAGTAACAATGCTCACCGCGTTATTGTTCTCCTTCACAAAATGCAGCATCTCCCTAGTACTTGGTTTGAATTGGAAGGTTGGAGTCACCACCAAGGCAGGATGAGGAATAGAAGACATAGGAGTTGAGCTTTACCCGATCGATGACGCAGGTTCCCCAACCTTGGCTTATAAATGAGCGAAAGTCAATCATTAGCTTTCAAAGTAATAAAGTTGCAAGTTTTAAACCAAGGGTAAGAAAAGTATACCTTGGAATATTTAGCCCAAGAAGGAGAAGCATGTACCATTCGGGTTGGGGTGAAGAAACCTCGAGGTGAGAGATCTTTTCCTCTTTTATACCTTGTTTCAGGCAATCATGCAAATAGTCAATAACAAAAAAAGAAGAGAAGAAAAAAAAGGAAACTTTGAAGGATTAACTTGAGATGCAGGTCATACCTCTAGATCCTTGAGGTTGTTCTTCGGGCTTTGACTTTGCAGATTCTACGACTGTTGCCTTTGTCCTTCGAGTTGCCCGAGATTCCACTACAGTCTTGACTTCATCTTCAGAAACTCCAAATAACTCAAAGACATCTCCGCCCTCTCCAGCGCCTTGCCTTGCCGCCTCAGCCTCAGCTTCTTGGAGGATAAAGGCATCCCCAGCCTCTTCATCTAGCCCGACATCCACCTCTTCAGTGTTGCCTTGGGTTACGAGTTCAAAGAAGGCAAAAAAAAAGGTGAGTAGAAGGCAGACTATAAAAAGAACATAAAATATAGGTTAAGAGAGTGAAAAATACATATTAGAAGAAGCTGGTTATTCTGGTGAATCATCTCCTTCCAAATCTCGAGCTCGCCCGAGCTAGGATAGGATTTGATTGATAGTTGCCCGAAGAGGCGGTCATGAGCTTCACGCAGATCTCCTTTATACTTCTTGGTCCATTTGGTCTCCCACCAGGTGGAGAAGCTTGAAGCACATTCAAAGTTTAGTGCCATGGGCTTTCAGGCAATTTTGCTCATGACCTCAAGATTGCGTCGGATAGCCCGAAATGTGACTTCTTGTGGAGAGCGAAGGCGGTAGGAGGTACCACAATGTACAAAATCAAAGAACGGGATTAGAATAGCTTGCCTAAAGCCTAGCTGCCTGCTGCAGAAGTTTGGATGATAAACTTCCAGCCCACGTTCATAGCGGTCGCTCCTTACTTCTTAGGCCAGATCTCTTGGTTGGATGTAGCTAATAAATTTCTCCTTACAAAAAGAGCTAGCGTCCTCCCTGAAGGCATTTTGAAAAGCTTGGTTGGAGAACCAATGATATCTTCTTAATACTGAAGCTCCTTACTCCAAGTCTGCTCGAGTCCTGCAAACTCTGAAGAAGCAGAGGTAGATGAATGTAGAATGATTAGTGGGAGAGGCTTCGGCTAGAATGCAGGCAGGAGCTACTTCTTCCGGGAACTCCAGGTTGAGTGCTTGAAGTTTGGGGAAGTACCATTGTAGCCATAACTGGACCATCTAGGTTGGCTTATTGAGGTTGGTTTCGAAGGGAGCGCCTCGGGTTATCTCATAATGAAGAAGATAAAGGTGAGCAAGGAGAAAAAGGCTCGTGGCCACGTCATCAAAATTGTGCAGAGCTTCCACCAAAAGGATCTACTCAACTTTTACTCCCTTGGACTTATTGGGGAAGACATGCTTGTTGAGCCAATACAACAAGAAGTACATGTGTTCTTGGTCTTTGTTGGGGTTAGAGGAGGAAGGGCCAAAATTCTTCTTAACAAACAAGATAAAACCCGTGAAGGAAGTCTCATAACTCTTGAAAGTATAAGAGTTGTAGTCCAGCTGAGTTATGGGATTAGAGGTGCTCGAGCTCTTAACAATTGGGCAGGAAGGAGAAGACCAGCCGTAAGTGACATCTACGACTCTGTCCTAAGACTTGAGCCATTTCGAGGATAGTTAGGGACATGGAACCCATCCTGAAATCGAAGGTATTGGTGCTCGAATTCCAGAAAATGAGAGCCGTAGTCAGCAGTTTAGGCTTGTCAATTACAGTAGTCTTGGATAACATAATTAGCTTGTATATGTTGTTGTTCATCCATTTCTGCTTGAAGGTAGGCTCGAGCTTGTTTATCTATTGCATCCAGCTTTCATCCTTCATCAAAGGAAAGCCGCGACGGTGGTTCGACCACTTGGTTGCTGAAATGCCAGCCTCAGCCAAAAATGGGTTCGTGGTGAACCAATTCGCCTTGGGCATGTTGCTTTCCATGGCAATATGGATCTTGGAGGTCCATACAGGTCCCAAGGAGTGCATTCTTCCTTCTTAAAAAAAAAAGTGAGGTCTGAAGGCCAGCCCGTGGGTGATAAAGGCCGTTGAGCAAACGATGCATAGTGGCAATCCCCTGACCAGTCTCGCTGGAAGAATGAGTTCGAGCAACTTTGGGTGCCATTAGATGATTTTAGGAAAGATAGAAGAAATTCGAAGGTAGAAAGCATAAAAGAGCAGAGAATAAGAGAGTACTGAGAAAGTTGGAAAATCTGGGAATTTCTGGAAATTCGAAGGTTCGAGATTGCTATGGTACTTGCCCGAGTCTCTTTGTTTGTTCTCTAAATTAGTAGATCTACTGCTTAATGCACTTTTCAACATATATTCAAGTCATTTCCACTTGTTTTGCTATTTTGAGAACCATATTTACATTTGGATCTGGTTAGCTTAATGGGTATGTCTTCATGAAGAGTGATTTGGGACCAAACAAAAGACTTAAGGGGCTATGGACTCCCTCCATTTGAACATACAAGATCATGAACTAAAAGTCCTTGTTTACAAGGCAAGAAAAAGAACTTAATAAAGACTTAACCCATCTGTGACAATCATTTGATAACAAGAAGTTTGAGTAATTTGGAGCGCAAGTAATCAACTTAAAACACACTTGTTCTACATCTGCTATATTGAGATAGCAGTGGCACGCCTAGCACTTAGTTAGTTTTGATTGGGAGCCTCAATGCCTACACCTAAGGTCCCACAAAGACACCTTTTAGAACTAACTTTGTTCTCTTCTTGTAGCATCTCAACAAGCAAGAGCCCGACTACACATCTAAAGTGCCAATCCCTTGAGAAGCTGTGCTGAGGTCCAAAGAGCCTTCTCTAGAGAAATCTTTGCCCAAACACACATATTAATTAACCCAACTCATTTGAAGTCGCCACCACCAAAACATATTCATATTGTTCGGTTTAGTAGTAGATCGATCGTGCCCATATTCGAGGTTGTATTAATTAATAATGGTAAACTCACATTTGCTAGCTTCATGCATATTTCGTATCATTGAATTTGATCACCGACAAAATCACCGACATGTTACGCTGAAAAAATAGAAGATCGCACAACTAGTTGTGATCACATGTATTTGCTCTATCATGTCTCAAAAAACGTCATTCCCTTACCGTACACTGTCTTTCCGTACTTCATAGGACGTGGGAAAACGCGTTTTGCAAATACTAATTTTGTAAAGTAAATACATATATATACGATACCATGCATGCATTAATGCTAATTTTCATTTTATTTTAATTTAGTCACCGACGATCCTGTTTTGATCAGTCTATAAAATACTAAATGGAAGCCTGCTTCTTCAAGAAAGTGAAAGAACTTGAGAGTTTGTCTGGTAACAAGTATAGAAAAATCGATCCGGGGGTTTAATTTACAGAGAAATTATAATGGTGCCTCTTTTCTGGCATCTTTTCTTGTTCGTTTGTATAGTTTTGGAGGGCATTATCCTCACCAATGTTGAAGCCGATGGATGGCTTAGTGGTCATGCAACTTTCTACGGGACCAACCAAGACCCAGCCACCCTTGGTAACTAACTTTTATTTTGATGAGAAAATAATGTTCCTTAACTTGTGTAACTTTACTACTTATTTCTTTATTATTTTTCCAAAGTTGTTTGTTGACGCTTTAAAAAAGTGATCATGCACTCCTCCATGAATGTTCTCTTTCATGCTTTCACAAATGAGGAGTGCAATATAACTTTTCAAGTGTGCCAATAATATGTTTTCTTATTAATTTCTAATTATGTATTCTAAAAATGTCATTCTGCCTCACATCTTTTCTTTTATATCCGTTTATATACCTAATATGTTATAGGACTGTCAATAACAAAGGCGTAAATTTTAGCGCACGTTATAATTTTTTTTTTTATTAACTTTTGTGTACTTGACATATGCTCGAATTGGTTGTTATGGGCGCCACCATTTTTCTTTTGTTTGTGCAATATGTGGTGACCATCACTTAAAATTTTCAATTAAAACTGAACATTAATAACATTGTCAATGATTGCTGGTCTAGTGACATGCAATCTTCCTTCACTTCATTGTAAGAGATTTTGATTCAAATCTCATATGTTATAGTTCTAAGTTTTAAAGAAACGATCTTAAGAACAATATTGTTGATTTACATCATGTGTACGTAGGTGGTGCTTGTGGTTACGATAATACCATCCATTCGGGGTTTGGAGTGAACACAGCTGCCGTGAGTAGCACACTTTTCAGAGGAGGTGAGGCGTGTGGGGCTTGTTACCAAGTAATGTGCAACTACAACACAGATCCAAAGTGGTGCCTTCGAGGTCGATCTGTGACGGTTTCCGCCACCAATTTCTGCCCCCCAAACAACAACGGAGGGTGGTGCAATTTTCCCCACCAACACTTTGACATGTCCATGCCTGCTTTTCTTCGCATTGCCCGACAAGGCAATGAAGGCATAGTTCCTGTCATTTACAGAAGGTAGCAACAATATTATATGGCTAAAATACATTATTACACAACATAACAATTCACGAGTTTATAGTCAGTGCCCATTCAAAAGTCCTAATATAGTAAATCCCAACATGCATGCACTATCTTTCCGGCCCGAACATATACTTGAGGTCTAATAAAGAAAATTTTATATATATGAAAAAGGAGACTCGAACTTGTGTAGTCTTAATTGTTGAATTATAATCTAATTTAATTTACATTATTGATCGATGTGTTGAATTGATATATTATGAAATCTGCTATTGGTAGTCCAAAAATGTTATTATACTGTACTTCTCTTTTATCAAAGCATAAGAGAGAAAATATACATGAATTAACGCATGATGACATTTTTAGACTATTAATAATTGCTCCCTATGTTATACATAATTAACTTTCAAGTAATTTTTGGTGTGACGGTAGTCTGAAACATTATAACAAACCTTGATCATCCTCTTTGCAATTAATGTGTTTATGGACTAAAGAGTGTCCTGCAAAAGAAGAGGCGGAGTCCGATTCACCTTGAAGGGACAGTCGAGCTTCAACATGGTGATGATCTCCAACGTCGGCGGAAGCGGGGACGTGAAGGCTGCATGGATTAGGGGGTCGAGGATGAGAAGAGGAACGTGGCTGGCCATGCACAGGAATTGGGGTGCAAATTGGCAAAGCAGCGTTGACCTTCGAAACCAGAGACTCTCTTTTAAGCTCACACTGGTTGATGGAAGAGCACTTGTATTTTCTAATGTGGTTCCTTCCACTTGGGGATTTGGACAAACATTTTCATCCCGCAACCAGTTCTGAACTTACGTACGACTAACTAATTCATCAAAACAAGTTGGGAAACATTATTGTATTTGTATGTTTATTCAACCATATTAATAAATATATTATTACAATTACATTTCTTCTTTTGAATTTTTATGTACAAAGTTGCAACATCAATGTTCACCTGGTTGTGGTTCACTATTTTACCATACAAATGTCATAAAATCGTATCCTATAAGTTGAATTTATATATGGAAAACAATAAACAATAGATATTTAGAGTTATCACATTCCATTTTAGCCTAAATACGGTAGTTATTATGACAATCATGACTTATCTGTTATGCATGAATCTGAACCATATCACTTCGTCGAATGTCTTTGAAATATGAATGCAGTGTATGGATCCTACTTAAAACTGGCCACCAAACCTCTTAATTTTCAAAAAGACAACATTCTATAAGGGGCATTGCCAAAAATAAAAATTCTAAAAATTGTTGTATTGTTGTTACTTCGATCCATTAGGCTTACTACCTTGCCCACAATTATTTGATCCCCTACAAAGTAAGTGCTAAAAAATTTCATGGTTGTTTGTTCAATGCTAGAACAAATTAGTGGAGGGACTTACGAAAAAATGAAACATTGTTTTTAACAAGAAAAATTTTAAATTATATACAACAAAACTTGGGCTCTATTCAGTTTGGAATCTGCCGTATGACTTTGTTGCGAAATATACATATTCCACTTTTAAAAGAGAAAGTCTTAAGTACAGCAGCAAACGCAAAAAATTATCTACCTCTCAATTAGTTTGCATTTGTAAATTCATTTTCAAGTTTTGTGGATGCAGATATGCGCTAAACAACATAACAAGTCTAAGATTTGGGAATAAGGATTGGATGTGATTAAGTTTGTTTGATAATAGTTGCATCTAGTTGTGTTGGTGGTAAGTCTTTTGAGTTTAGCGACACCTGTTGTTTTTTATTCATAATTTGCTTGTGTTTTTGTGACAAGGTACAAACTTTAAAGAAATCCTTAAACCAAAAATTAAGACTCAATAGAAAAAATCAAGGCCAACTTCGCTAATCTAATAGCTATCATATTGACAGATTTGTATGTGTGACAAGTAGGAGAAGAAACAAAAGAACCCGACCATATAATTCCAAAGCTAAAAGAACTTCAATTATGACAACTAGAAATTGAATTGGTTCATAACTCGATACATGGGGATAACGCACAAAACTGCAACATAACTAATTAAGGAACACTCTTTGAATACAAATGATGACTATCGAGTACTATATGAGATGGATCTAATTAAGTTGGTGGTAATTGCTGAAAATTTATTGACACTTAATGTAAAAATTAAATATTTATTTAAATTGGTACGGAAAAATCAACACTAAAGTATAATATGACCTTCATTAGTGAATAGAAACTTAGGTAAGTTTAGGAGAGAGAAGACTAGAAGAAAAGATCAATTTTTGGATGAAAAATTCAATTTTTATCATCTATTTGTACCATTATTTATACTATTTCCCTAAATGTAGAACATTTTTTTTTTCTAATTGATACAAGTGATATTAATGAGGATCCTCTCCGGATCCTCCTTGTGAGGATCTTGGGAATCCTCAAATCATATCGGTTCATGCGGTTATAAATTATTTTAAATATTTTTTTATTTAAAATTAAACATGAACAACGAAAACTGACTACATGATATACGATGAATGGATACGATTTGAGGATCTTCGGGATCCTCACAAAGAGAATTCGGAGAGGATCCTCATTCCAAGTGATATTAGAGAACAAGAAAATAAAACGCAAACGTTGACTCTTCATTGGGAACTTCTTTCACATAAAATTTATACGCCTTAGTTGGATGAGCACCATGTTGAACTGATCCACTCGGAGCACTTGTGCTCCCAGTGGGGAATCGAATGGGGTAGGGCTTGGACAACTAGCACTCACAGTAAAGGGATTGTTCTGTCCAAGAAGATGAGTTGCTCTCAAACGTAAAACTATTTAACCAAGTCAAGACCTGTAAAGGCTTGAATCTTTTCTCAAAACTTGTTGCTTCTTCCAGTTTCCTTTTTCTTGTATTGGACCTCATATGCCCCGCATGGCACTCCAGATTGCAAGCGTTTTGCCACACTCCGAAGCACTTACGCTCGCTCTCGAGTTGGGCCGGTGGTGATACCATTTTTATTGTTGTTGCTGTCTTCTTGTTATTGTTGCTGTCTTTTGCTGTTGTTGTCTTCTGCTGTTGTTGCTGTCTTTTGTTATTATTGTTGTTGTTGTCGTCGTCATTGTGGTGTTGCTCTCCTTAGCAGCAGGACGAGGGCTGATGATGATCTTCAGCTTGGTTGGTAGCAGTTGTTGGCCTTCTTCCAAAATTTATATTGGATGAGATCAATGATGGAAGTCTAAATCCAGTACTAGTCCTAGACACGACATGATTAGGACTAGTATTTGGAAGATGATTGGTTAGCGATGAACTTTGTGGACTGCTTAGGGTTGGTGGTTGAAATGTTAAAGGATTCTGATTTAGTGGTGTTGTATGGAAATAATGGGCGGGTTGATGGTACTTGAATTGGATTCGATGGATTTTGAGTTCCCCCTCCCAAGTGTTGAGGCAGCCCACGACCATCGAATATTCCAAAACCTGGAAAATGAGATGTGGTTGAAATATCGTTGTGGGGAGCACTGGTCTATATGGATAGGCCAGTACACCCCGACGTACATTTTTATTGATCGATGGTATCTCCGAAAGACACATTTTTGCTGGCATGATCTCACTGCAAGTCGATTGACGAGGCTAGCAGCTGGTTGTTGGTATTGAGTCCGTCGAGCATAGATGAGAGGGTTGTCATGGTACTAGTACTGAATGGGGGATGGCTAAGTGGAGATTGGTAAGGAGTTGGGTGAAAGAGACCTGAAAGAATGCGACTATGAAAGCATTAGCTACTAGCTATATGTGAGTATGACAGTATTGTGTGGCTAATGGTTTGTCCTATGAAGGTTTATATAGACTTGTGACGGGCCGTATAGTTTTTTCACGGGTCACGTGAACGTAAAATAACGCTCAAATGCATGAAGGAAAATCTGGTTATATTTTATAACTTAAGGTAATTTTTACCCTAGAGGAAATAGCTTTTGGCACAGCTCAAATGCATGTATGCGAATTTCATCTTCTTTGTGATGTTACCATCTATGCCCATATTTTTCACCGTAATTGGCAGATAAATATCCAAATAATAGATATTTCAACATTGAGCTTGTTTTGGCAAAAGCAGTTTGCATTCTTGGTAATGTTACCATCTATGCACAAATTTTATTGTCTTTTTCGTGATTATTGAAGTACATGTAAAGTAGTGACCAGTTAATAAGTTATATATAACGGTACTAACTACTTGTTGGAACTCATTTTACAGAGTTGTCTTATGATCCGAAGCGTTTTTTTTTTTTTTTTAGAACATCATTCAGAGATAACATTTGAAAAAAAAACGGTAGTCACACCACAAACCATATGACCATTCAGTTGTTCTTTTGAAATTTTTTACCTATACAAGATATTTGTATTCATAATTTGATTATCGTTGCATGACTAAATGTGTAGCTTGATATAGAATGTGGATATATACGAAGCGATTTTAGTTACTTTAAAAAAAAAAAAAAATTTACTGTCATAGAGAGAGGGAGAAAATTCGAAACTATTACAATAATTTAGGAAGAAGGGATTTTGAACTCGTGATGCATGAATAAAAATCCAATACTTTGTCTACTAACATATTGGACCACGCCATTTTTAGTTACATTCCATTTGAGGCTAGATACGATAACTATTACGACAATCATATGTACCTAGACATTATTTCAATTAATAAAAAAACCATTTCAATTACATTCCATTCGAGACTAGATACGATAATTATTACGGCTACCATGAAATTGTCCATTTTTTTTAAGAGTGCTACTAGACCCACTACAGTGTTTTATTTCCTCACCCACACTATAATCCCACCCACCACAAAAAGTTAAAAACTTAAAATGTTATCTTCCCACCAACTATTATTCCTAAAATAACCTTTATATTGAAATTCTTTTTATTTTTAGTTGTATTGAGTAAAACAAAATCTACAAAGACACGATTCAATTGATTAAGATGCAGGAGGATCACATCTATACAATACATTTTACACAATTCCAAGCGTCTTCTCCATCCTCCAGCACACCACTCACCCCGAGAACACCGTGTTCCACTTCATTTGCGCCTGCCATAACAATCGGTATGTGGATTGTGGACAGACAAGCCTTTATCTTAGTTTTCAAGGCTATTTGCTGGTACTGACAACAAAAACAAACAGATCAAACTAAAATAGGCAAAGGTACTGGGGACTTTATTTTTTGAAGATTTAGAGAGGTGGGTTGTTCTAGAAGATGGGGAAGAACGAATCTGTCAACCTAGACAGCAGGGATTTTTCTGTTCTTTGGTCTTAGATGTCATTTTACAAGAGAGTAAATTTGGTATTAATTTTTATTTATTTATTAAAAGGTGGGTGGGGAAATAAGACAATGGAATGAGTTTATCACCACTCTCTAAACAATAAAAATGAGAATTGCTATTAACATTCCAAAAATCTCATTTTGCACTCCAAACTTTCTATAATTAGAAAGAAAAATACGAGTGTAGAATGAGATTTTTATAATGCTAATAGTAGTTCCCATAAAAATACAACGTACCTATGCACTTCAATTACATTCCAAATACATTGTTTCAATTTGACAGCCTAATCTTGCTCGTCAAAATGAACCAAGAACATGATATATCTAGACATCAAAACCCTGACATATTCTTCGACATGAGTTGAAACTCTCAATACAAAGAGACACCAACCCGACATTGGCGGAGGAAAAGAACTAGCACTCACACGTTTTGACTCAAATTGCACGTTTACGTGGGCGTATAACTCCTTCAATCAATGTTTCTTACAGAATTACATGAACACATTGTTCTTAATGTCGAAACATTCCCAATGGAACACTGAACTGAACCAAAGAACATATGGACTATTAAGTTAGACAATTCAATAAAAGTTTCATCATGAATTTGATTCTAATTCTCCAACAATTGACACCTAACCAAATACTCAGTATTTAAGATCACTTACCCTTTCGGATGAATGTTGGTTGCAGCTGGGAGCACCTCCAGTACCATGTTTAGCTCTTTGTTGTGACCGAATGTGTCAATGATGAAGGCTGAGGTTATTTGTTGTGCATGAAAACCCCTTCCAAATTCACTTGAGAAAAGTATTAACTACACAAGATGTTTACATTATACAAGCAGCGTAAAACCAGGGAGAAAACTTCTATTTTCTCCAATACTCTACCTAGCTATGCATGCTGTTCAGTTCCATACTCTCAGTCCGCCACCATTTCCCTCTGTTTTTTGGGGAAATGAAGGATGTTGGAAACTTGATCTACAATCGTTTAGCAATGAAATGTTTGTTTTTTACACGAGCAGTGCAGTTTCTGCAATTGTTTTACAATATTTACTTATGCAGCATTGTTATTAAGAACAATTGAATTAAATCTTTGGGGAAGAAGAACTATTACCTAAAACCGATTACTACCAAGATACTAAGTCTTGGCTCTTCTTTTCTATAATTCCCTGTAACGGGAGATTTTTCCAAGCACCAGACCAGGTATACAAGCGATACTCCACATGTCATAATACAAGTGGAGGAAATGATACATGTTTCTGTGTCCCTCAACTTATTTTATGACACGTGGAGTACCCACTTGAATACCGGGTACTTCGAATACTTTCTCTCCCATTACCATCAAATCAATAACATTGCTTAAACAATTACTATGCTGTCGACTAGCCTTGGTATCTCTTTACCTATGAATTTAGAGGTAACCGGACGGTTATTTATGATCACTTTGTGTGCAATATACATACTGATGATATTGTCTTCAAAGGTGAAGGAATAAGTTATTTTCCAATACATTTACTTTGTTCGTAAGCCTATATTACGCATTTTGATACTGTTATGTATCACTAGTATTTCCAGAGACTAACTGAGATTATCTATTAGTCTTTATCAATTTTACTCAGATATCTGCTCAACAACATGCTAAATGTAAGAGTTGCATTAAAATTCAAGTTCTACTTTTACAAAATAGTATAGATGAGGGAAACTGAAAAGTACCCATAAAAAGCCCTCATGTTGTTTCAGCATTGCGTCTGTCTTAACCTATCAATTTCCTCATCGGCCTCTATTTGATCTTCTTTCATGCTCTGTAATAGCCCTTCTACTTCTTTCCCGCTTCTGATGTATGCCTTCATTAAGGTATGGTACATTTCACTATTTACTGGAATCACAGTCTTTATTAAGGTCACAAAAGCTTCTACATGTTCAATGTCTCCGTTATCTCCAATCCAATTCAATACATTTGAAACCAAACCAGATTTCGGATTCCATCCTGTGTTATTTGCCCGTACATGCAGAGCTTCCATCATGCACTCAAAAGCCTTCTGCATCTTCTGCTTGTCCACATACCCTGCAGCAAGAATAGACCAGCTATTTGGGATTGGAGTCTTGCCTCTTTTGACAATGTCTCGAAGAGTTTCTTCCGCTTGTTCAACCAATCCCTTTTGACAATATCCGATCAGGAGGACATTTGGCACTCGAAAATCATAACAGTGACAAGATGATTCCCACTCCTCTAGCAATTTTTTAGTTTCTTCAAGCTCACCAAGCTTCACAAGAGAACCAAGCATGGTTATATAGTCCCGGTTGATTTGCTTTTTGCACTTGGCTTTTTCGAGGTTCCACAACCTCATCATATGATCTTTATATCCAAGGCTTGCATAAAGAGTAATCAGATGGTTGTATCCAAGTGCATCTTTATTCACCTTCTCTTCACTCTTTCCCAGGTAGACCAACGCTTTGTCGGGCAGACCTGCTTTTATGTATAAATTGGCTACCATAGCATAGGTAATCCAATCCATGGAGATGAGTGGTTGGCTCTCCATTTCTTCCAAAACTTTCTCCACGCCACTTAGATCAGACCTCGCCCCATAAGAGCTCATGCAAATCCTGTAGCTAAAAGTGTCAGGAGAAACACCCTTCTCCTTCATCTCAAACATCACATCAGGGATTTTCTTGGGCTGGCCTGTACGCGTATATAGGCACATAATGTCATTGTATGTGAGAGTGGAAACATAGCCCAACTCTCCCATCTTCTGCATATGAGAAATAGACTTATCGACCAGGCCTTCTCTGACAAAACAATTTAGAAGTGCACCATAAACTTTGTCACTTTTTTCCTCATCGCTCAAGCTATTAAAGCGGCTCTCTGCAGCAACCAGACCGTGAACGTGACCAATGAGATCAAGCTGCACTGCGCAATCACCGGGTAAAAATTGGCACGAATCTTTACTACTCATCCATTCAGAAACCTGCACAACAACAAATGCAAGGCAGAAGTTGGAGTTACATACCACCTGAAAACTGTGGACAATATTAAATCTGCTTTATTGATCCTAAATTTCAAGGGAAAAAGAACACATATTTCGAATATCGAAACCTGAGCAATGAATTCTGTCAATTAGTCTCAACAAATACGAAAAAACAAAAGTAATACTCGTTTTGTGTCTGTAGTATTCAACATTTCTTTCACATCTCTCTTTCTCAGAAACCAAACAGGGCATTGGAGGTAAAACAATCATGCAATTGAAATTAATAAGCTCTTTCAAGTAAATTATAGGAAACCCAACAAAAAAACACAAGGAAAACAACCCCAAAAAGTTTCCTTTCATGCATTTTCTGAGCAACCAAAAGGGGAGCAGGGACCTTGCTCCTGGAATCGACTCACATCAAGGGCGTGCCGGAACCGCTTTCGGGCTCGCAGGTCTCGGACGATGCGGTGGAGCTCAAAGTAATTGACTTTCCGGCCCTGTTGAACCCACTCGTCGAGGACTGGGGCTACGCTGAGAGAAGGGTCACCCAGAGGACTGATTCTGGAGTAGAGGTTTCTTGTACTGGCAGTGTGCCTTAATCTGGAGAAATATTTTGTTGGGGTTGAATTTGAAGAGAGGCTTTGGTGCCTTTTCAGGAGTCTGAAGACTGCAGAAGCCATGGGAGGAACAAGTGAAGTGATGGAAAGGAATTTGGGGGGTTTAAGCGGGGGATGGAGATGGCAGTGGAAGTGTCGAGTTGTCAGTGCGGCATACCCATCCTTTGTCTCAACGCACCCAATTCTCAAAATTTCCAAAGTGCAAAATATATAGAGTTTTTATTTCAAATGGTCAATTATTTTAGTTCTTCACTTTCAAAATCACTTAATGTCGTTTTTGGCATCCATAAGCGTATATTAATTTGGTCATTTTATTTAGATTTCGTCAATTATTATGTTTGTTTGTATGAGAGGGACACACAAAATAACAGTTTTTATTGCAAATGATTCCTGACATTAATCCAACTCTTTATTTTAGTCCTTGAGTTTCAAAAATCGATAATTTAGTCTCTTATTTTCACTACCGCATATTAATTTAATCATTTTATTAAAATTGTCAATATTTTTTTATTAGTATGCTAATATAGTCTCAATAATCCAATCTTCAATTTTTTATTTATTTTATCAAACAATAAATTTATTAGATTAGAAAGCTGATAGATTTGTTTTTCTATTTGTTTACGATAATTTGAAGAGTAAAAATTGTTAATCAAAGCGTGCCCACTGGATTTTAACTTAGAGTGGGCTGCAGATCCGTAAATTGGGCCTGTAAGCCCATGTAAATCTCATCACTCATCAGAAGAAAACATAGAAACGTAACAACTGTATTAGCTCTCCACCTCCGTCATCATCTAAATTCGCTTCCTTCCCTCTCTCTCCCTGAACAGCAAAATGGGTAAAGATCGAAACGGCAGCGTTTCAGAGAAACGAAGCAGGAGCTCCGAGAAAGAGGAGAGACGAAGCAGAAGCTCCGAGAAAGAGGAAGAAACCGAAAGAAAATCCGAGAAAGCGCCACAAATTTCGGATTCCGAGACCGACGAAGACAGGAAGCGCAGTAAATCTAGGAGAAAAGGGCGGGAAATCTCGGAGTCCGACGGTGAAAAGCACGTGAAAGGAAGGAGGAGGAAGTCGCGGAGGCGGTACAGTAGCGAGGAGTATACGGATTCGGAGTCCGAGTCGGAATCGGAGGAGAGCGGCTCGGATTCGGAGTCGGAGAGTGATAGTGGTAGCGAGAGCGACGGCGACAGGAGACGGAAGAGGAGGAAAAGGAGAGAGAAAGATGATGATAGAGAAAGGAAGAGGAGGAAGAGAGAGAAGGAGAGGAAGAGGAGGAGGAGAGAGAAAGAGGAAGAGATGAAGAAGAAGAAGGAGAAGAGAAAGAAGAAGAGGAAGGAGAAGAAGGAGAAAGGAAAGGTAGGAGCGGTGACGAATTCGTGGGGGAAGTATGGGATCATCAGAGAAACTGACATGTGGTATGTTTGCTGAATTTTATACTGTTTTAGGGTTTTAAGTTTCTGTTTGGCTGCTGAGAAAATGTAGGAAAAAGAAGTTTACTTCTTCCACTTGAATTTGATGATTACTGTTGTGTATAGGAACAAACGACCAGAGTTCACAGCATGGTTACAGGAAGTAAAACAGGTAATTCCTTTTCCAACTATTTTACCATCCCATGAAACCATTAATTTGCAGAGTGGTTTATTTCAGTCATAAAGTTTCTAAGATTGTAGAGTTTACCTTTTGATTTGTATGTGTTTCGAAGCCGTGTGTTGATCCGTTTCCAAATTGCAGTCATCGATATGATAGTTCTAATGGTAATTGTGTTATCTTTCATTAGGTGAACCTGGAACATCTGGCAAATTGGGAAGAGAAGCAAATGTTCAAACAGTAAGTGGGTGTGTGGATGTGCGGATGCATTTAGTTTATTTTCTCCGAAAGCATCTATATAATGGCGATAACAGGAATTTGCTAGGTATTTTCCTTCGAACTTTTGTATCTTACAATCTGAGTAGAAATTTGTTTTGCATTTTAATAGGTTCATGGAAGATCACAATACAGCTACCTTCCCTTCGAAAAAGTAAGCTTCTATTCTATTGGCTTGGTCATTTCAATTTATTTGTCCAAAAAGAAAAAGTTACAAAGGTTTGTTCCTGCTGTTGTGGTGCTCACCTTTTAGGTAGAAATTTTATCTTAATGTGCTTAAACACCTGAATTACGCTAGGCCTAATGAAATGATATGCTATTTTATATAGATCAGTCTCGATATTTTTGAACCTGCGGTTGTGGTATAGACACTTTTCTCTTAGGATTTAGAGGAGAATGCAATGTGTGTTTGATTTAATTTTAGTTAAATATCCTTCTTGATTTGCCTGATTCTTTCAAGTGTTATCATAAATGTGTGATTGATCATAGTTTATAACCAATATACTAGACAGCCATTGTGTTGCCAGATTTTGAATCAATATGCGTGATTAGGTTTACTTGTGTCTGAATGTGCGATTTTGGCTCACAATTTGGCAGCAGAACATGCCAGTTTTGTGTTAATTAGAGATGGAAACAATGGGGGGATATTATCTGAAATTAAAAAGAATTGTGTGCTTTTAATTTTACACGCGTAACCTTTTCTCTGTTGGTTGTAAGGGTTCGTAAGGGTGAGAATGATTGTACATTCTCACTTTTTCTGGTTTTTTTTTACTTGTTAGATTCATCTTCAAGTAATATCACAGAATGACAAGTAATTACTTTAACCTTTGTGGTTGCAGGTACTACAGCCTTGATAATTATTACAGGAATAAGATGGAAAAGGAAATTAAAAGAGGTTTTAAGAAGGTTGCGCCAACAGAACGTATTGTATTCAACGATGAGGAACAGAAAAGGTATTGTTTTTATTGCTATCTGATTTCATTTTATGGACTAGTTTTGGCAACATTCAGTTTTAGTACATTCATATGATTTCCATTGATAGCTAACGTGTCAACCACTCACTCCACATTTTGTCTAATAACTATACTATGTACAATGAGAAAAAATTATATTTCACCTGGCTGTACTTATTTAATAGTATTTTGGAGACAAAAGGAAATAATGTTCGGGCAACTTTCTATATAGAGGATAGGAGAAACATAATACCATTTTGGATCTGTTAAACCATTTACATTCTTGGGTTTGGCTAATAATATTATATTTTATTATATATTGCTATTCAGACAAGAAATGATGCAAGTGCGTGAAAAGCAAAAGGAAGAAGAAGTAGAGGCTCTGAAGCGCTCTATGCAGAGTGGACTGGTACATTTCTGTTTCATTACTTATGAAAACGTTCAATTTGTTTATTGTACATAAACTCCGTCTGAAGTCAAAGTTGCACTTTGTCATCCTTTGATTCCATTAAAATTTCCAGGCACAAGCAATGAAAGAACAAGCTCAACTCCGAGAAGAGATGGCTTACCAGTACAAGATTGGAAACATGGAGGTGAGGATAAGTAACTGAGCTGTCTTGGTGTAATTCTTAAAAGTCATTTCTGGATTTTTGTTTACAGTATTACCCCTCTTATTTTCAGGCTGCCGCTGCTATTCAGAGAAGGTTGGACCCTGATGCTCCTGTGTGAAAAAGGTTCAGTGTAATTCTAGCATTTAATTCCGTTATTCCCCTAGTTTAAGAATCTTAAGTGCATACGGATTCATAGTTAGACTGAACAACTAAGGGTAGCCTTCTGTATCTGTTGTCCACTTTAGCCTCATTGTCATACATTCTAGGCTGTAATATTTCTTGTCGTTCGTTCTCCTCACCGGTTTAGCCATTTTTGCAGATGCATAGAAAAGGCTGTATTTTGTGACTGATTTCGTAGCAAATTGATTGATCATGAATCTAGAACACTCCTGTGCTTGGTTTTGCACTAAGTCTTCCCCGTTAACTCCAAGTACTACATATCTAGTCTCTTTCAAAGTCTTCCTAGGTGTTCCTCTGCCCCTTTTGTCTTGAGCCTTTGTCTCTTAGTCGCATATTCTAACCAGAACATATGTAGGTCTTCGGTTCATGTGTCCAAACAATCTTAGCCGATCTCTCATCTTATCTTCAATTGCCACTCATAACCTCGTTCTTAATCCTATCATTTCTCATGTGCCCATACATCTAACGAACATTCTTATCTCCGCTACCCTCATTTTTTGCATGTGTTGTTATGACCACCCAACATTCCGTGCTCTAAAACATTATTGACTTTATTACCGTCCTATAGAACTTTCCCTTGAGTTTTAGTGAAATGCAATGAACCATCCTATAGAACTTTCCCTTGAGTTTTAGTGGAATGCAACAAATGCAGAACGCATAACATGCTTGATGTGCTCATTCACTTCATTCATCCAGCTTGTATTTTGCGGCTGAGATAATAAAATTACAATTTTGATCTCCTATATGGCTAGGGCTGTAAAAGACTCGGATCCAAACTTGGTGCAAGCTCGAGCTGTTTCAAGCCGATTTACAGCCTTATATGTAACAGACTCGGAATTTGAGGAGTCGACAGATGAGCATGAATTTGAAAGATAATTGAACTTCAAATTTTCATTTTTTTTAAAGTTTAAATTATCTCCGCTAAACATGCTTCTGAAGCTCTTGGATATTCCAACGCTTCTCTGAGCCTCATCTCTAGTGTTGCTTTTTCTTGGACATGGATTGTAATTTTATGCGTGCAGAAAAAATGAGCTCCAAACGCGTAAGGAAAGGAAACTTCAACCCGAAATTTCTCGACCAGAGCTGCGTGTGCAATTTCTTCTACGTTGTCCAGTCTCGTAGAAATGGCTGACAGCCTTGACATGCAAAACATTCAAAAGTAACGAACATCGATAGTTACTAAATACCACATAAAAAGGGCCTTACGCCTTGTGAGGGTAAGCCTTGGCGTAATGGAAATGTTGTTCTTTTATAATCGAAAGGTCACAGGTTTGAGGTTTAGGCACATACTTTAAATCAAATAGGTTTAGGCTCTTACACGCTGTTTAGTAAGAGTGCGAGCCTTGACGGGAAGGTTGCACATTAGTAGCGGAAAGGTCACGGATATGAGGTTTACTCTCTTACATTAAATCAAATGGTAAATAGAACGTAATTATGACTAAATTTTGGTAATTTGGAGCTGGCAAGAGACTATTTTCGTAACTCAATTAACTCATACGAATATGAATAATATACCGTGATCTGCAGAAGGTTTTCCGATACGAATCTTCACATAATCAAGAACTTCAAATTCGC